GAGGGAATGAAATGGCCAGTGGGTTAATTTAGAGGCTGTGCATGTTCACTCAGGTGTGTCTTCCTTAAAGACAGAGAGGCCAGAAACACACTGTAGCCAATCAGAGCACTTGAACTGAATGGGCTTCCATTGCAAAGGGCACATTCTCACAAAGCTATTAAACAATGCCAATCAGCCTCTCATCTGACTCTTTCATCATACTGTGTGTGTGTGTGTGCGCACTTCATTTCTGAAAGTGGCAGATCAATTCAGTAGTTAAGTACACACAGCGGGGAAGATGGCTGTTTGGAATGATTTTTTTCACTTGGTTTTCCTTCTCTCTCTTTTGCAGCTCCGTCCATTGTTCCCATAATGCATCAGGTCAGTTCGACGATGAAAAGCATCACGTTGTCATGGCCCCAGCCTGAACAGCCCAATGGAATTATTCTCGATTATGAGCTACGTTACTATGAGAAGGTAAGACATGCAGGTTTGCTGCATTGGAGGGAAACTGCTTACTGCTCTTTTGTCTGGATTCTTCCTCAAGGTTTTTCCAGTGTTCTTCACATGTCGAGTTTCATTTTAACACTTTTAATGCAAGATGCAATTGTGTCAAATTGAAGAAAGTGCAAGTCAAAGGTCCACTTCATTGGAGAATTGATTCATTTCATTGAACTAGTTGAAGGTAACTTTGATTTTGGCAACTAGGAAACGTTCTGTCATTTGTTTGTCCAAAACATTTTTTGATCGGCTATTTCAGTGAAGGGACATCTCACAGACCCCGTTGTGATGTCATCATAAGGAAGTGAGGTACAGTGGGTTGCTAGGCGACAGCATTGACGGGCGGGTGGTGGGGTTCAGTTGTTTCGCTGGCCGGTTCTTGCAGAGAGATGCTGAAACACAGACCCTCTCACGCCAATTACACTTAATGATTCCAGAGCCTCCCCTACTGCCACACACACACGTTCCACAGATGTCACCCCTTTTAGAGACATCATGGCAGAGCATTAAGTTTTACAAAATAACGCACATATACACACTCTCGTCAGCAGTTATGCCTATATTCCCTGTCTGATGTTCCTTTGAAATGTTGCCGTCATATATATATATATATATCAGTGGCGTGCGGTGGTGTTTTAAAATGAGGAGGCAGTTATATACACTGTGTGTATGTGTGTATA